ACTTGGAGTGTCCAGAAGACCTCCCGCATCTTGTCAGCGTCTTCACCTAACAGGACTGTGTCATTTGTGTATTCTAGGTCTAATGAAAATTCTCCTGCGAATAGGTCAACCTCTGTGTAGTTAGGTGACGAGAGGGAGACCTTCATAAGAATATCTATGATAAAATTGAATAAGATTGGAGACTGGGCAACCTTGACGGACACCACTCGACGAGCTTAGCTTACCGGACATCTCACTATAGGCTCTAACACGCCCAAAAATATTCGAGCAGAGAGCCTTCAATAAGGTGATATGCTTACTCGACACGCCTTTCAGTGAGAGACATTTCCATAAAACCTCTCGATCAATGGAGTCAAATGCTGCCTTCAGGTGGAGAAATACAGCTATGGTCGGCCGTCGGTAAGCGTGTCTGTGCTTCAGGACCTGGCACAGTGTGAATATTTGGTCGATACACCCGCGGCCAGGTCCAAATCCTGCCTGGTTTTCTCGTGCTTGCTGTTCCCGAGCTCCACTTAGGCGTCACAGAATTATGGAACCTAGAATCTTAGACACTATGTTCGTCTTCAATTTTGAATCTAGTTACTCAACTTGTGTTTATTTCCTCAGATACAACTACTATGTTTGTCTGTCTTGTGGAGCTGTGGCTGCAGTGTAGGGGGATCACTATCAACCGTCGAATCACAGGTTTGAACCCCACTCCACCTACTGAGATTTGGGAGACCAGGTAGTACCAATAGCCGTCACACAATAGGTGTGGCTCATTGCTTACTGCACACGTGTGCACAAGGTGGCTGAATGCGCTTTTGTTGATTTTACTTGGTAGAGATCATTCAGTCGATAGTAAAACTTATTCTTACTTGCATCCGGATTGCTGTCACTTAGAGCATAATTAGAGATGAAGAGATATTACTCCCTTCCCAGTTACTTCTCATTCCAATCGGAACTTCCTGTCAAAAAATACAGGTTTCTATTAATGAGGACTAAGTCAACTAGTACAGCTTAGCCTCTGGCAGTTAGTTTCATTGACTATAGATCTGTCTAACCTCAAAATTAATAATATTTAAGTAACGTTAATGTGTTTATGATAAAATATTTACTGCTCATTTCTTCAGTCTCGAATCGCACTACCAGATCAGACAAGTTAGCTTAAAGTGTACTCGCTCCTTGGCAAGCAGTCTAATGTTTTTTAGACGTCATAGAAGGCATTGACAAATACTAGGTGTTTTCTTCTGTCTGTGAGACCAAATCACTCGTCAGTTCAATTAGGCTAATAAAACAAGGGGTCAACACATGCCACCACCATGTGATGCGAATTAGGTCTAGGCATCACTTCGCAGCTGATAAGTCTGTACCAAACTTCTAAATTTTAAGTCAAGTATTTGCGTACCGATACAAGTTGAAAGGATTGAGGTTATATATATATTACGAAGTAGGAAAATAAAGGTTTATCAGTAGCTAAAGAGAGATTAACTAACTAAGTTGCATATTGTAAAATGAGTAAATACAGTTCAACAATTAAAAAAGACTGCTAGTAGGATATGTAACAAGAAGAGATGTAATAAGGTTGTAAAGACATGAAAGAAGACCTTTTCCAAAGTTTAGGTCTTTGCATAGGTTAAGTCCATAGGTGTAATAACTGAACTAACTTCTTTTGTGCACAAAATTCGGGGCTTAAAATATGAATCTCCATGCCTTCCGGTTTGAAGAACGTTTGTTCTCTAGGCTTTCATGAGGCATCAAAGCTAGGTTGTAGGTCAAGCTAGTGTTTCAAATTGACGAAATGTTCTTAAGTTGAATTGAGAGATCTTTATCCCTTTTGAGGCCAAGATGGTGCATGTTTGATGATGTATTTAGTTGGCAGATGCTGAGTACGACCGGTAAGCCTTGCTTCATAGGAGTTAGTGAATTGATAGACGCGCATTGAGGATGCCAACAGCGGAAGCTTATCCTTTATGAATAATCGAATCACTGGATGCATAGAGAAAGTGAGCCGCAGTTAAGCAGCAGAAAGATTCAATGAACGAGATAAGGGATTTTGTAATGTTTCCGCCAATGGATCTCCACTGAACCGTAGATTCAAGATGAGCAGCTTTGTAGGAACCAGAAGTCTATTTGGTTTCATAGTTTTCACAATGAAACACTCAGGATAGCTGTTTTCAATAAAACCATTCCTAAGGGTATTTACCTTTATCATTGGCATCAGGAGAATTGATGTTGCGGGACGAAAGAAAGATGTAGTTGGAGACTTGGTGATATGACTCAGAGCCGATGTCAATGGCGCAGATATATACACACATTATCCTCATCTTAACCATTATAGTTAATCTCATCATCTCATTCTTCCTTCTTCTCTTTTACCACTTTTTAATTCTACTACCTTTGGCCGGTTTTTGTTTCCTCAATCTTTATTTTATTGCTTTGTTACTTGATGTGCTGATATGAGGTGTGGCAACTTGGGTTGTTACGCAGTAAAGCCTGGTCCTATGTTGATCTTGATGATGATGAATGAGAGAATTGGATGTTAATAGCACATCTCAACAACTGTTGATAATGAGCGAGTATCCCAATATCTAATCTATTACTATCAGTATATTAACATGTGTAATATATTCTCTGAGTCAGTGAAACACCTGACCGGTAGCTGCTACCTTGACGTGGTGGTTGGGCTGGAGTATCACGATGATCACAAGCTCCGTTAATTGGAATGCTTGTTCCCTCGATATCCTATCACGTCAGAAAGGTTTATTATATGGTGGTAAGACGAAAAGCAGTTATCGTTATATTGTAAGTTGTTGCGCTGTGATGGGTGTCCAAGGACGAAGTCGTACTGCTGGCTGACTCCGTGGCTGGGATGTAACAGAAGTAGTGTTTCCCGCTGATGGCCAACAGTACCACACTGATGCTTCTTTTCCTGTGGGAAGGGAGCGGGTTAGAAACGTTTGGCCTCCAAAGTAGCACAGTCCTATCTGCCCTGCGATCTTCCAGCGTCGTCGGCGTTGGGTTTTCCTATCTGGCGTTTGGACATCCAAATTCCAAACCAACAATCCTCATAAAGCTATGTGACATCTCAAGCAGATTTCTCTTAGGCTCTTTGGTCACACAAATGTTATATTCTTTGGTTACCCTGCAAGTGTAAAACATCCGCACGCTTCCAATAGTCTTCAAAATCCAATCAAACATAATCTGTCCTCTTCAAATCGGTCTTCTCCTTTGGATTCACCTCCTGATACTAATACTAAGCCTCTCAGAACTTTCTCAACCTTTCACTCTACTACCATTGACAACGATCGAAGCCATCGAAACCTCACTTCTAGTCCTCTAAGGCCTTGCTATTTATTTCCTATTGAATCCTCTAACTTCTGGACCCTGTGCCAAGTCAAATGATAGGCATCGCTAGTCGGAACTCTGGACTGTCAAGCCATGAATAGATACTGTTTCTAAGATATACAGGACCAGAGTGTGGTTATTAAACTGACCTCAGCTAACCAATGCAATGACCCCTCCAAATTCGCTTGATGTGTGTCCGGAGACATAATGGTTAACTTCCGTGGACTCACTGGTGTAAACATACTATTGAGTTGTAAAGCAGAAAGCGCATCTCGCCACTGGATGTCAGCTTATAGCTGTATGTATTGTTCGACTGAGTGCATCTGTAAACACTAGGAAGGATTGCAAGACTATCCAACACCTATTTATAATCTCCGCCTGTGCACCCACCGACTTCATTTCGGATGATTTAAAGGGTAAATTTTACGAAGCGCTGTCAGTTTCGCTACATAACACAAAACGTTCATATGTGGTCATAGTAGCAGGCGACTCAAGTAGGGAAGCTGAGCCAATCAGAAAGGCATCTTGGATGTCCCATGCCAACAAACTGGCTACGGTGACCGTCTGTTGCAATTTTTCCCCGACTCACTTGTTTCTGGCCGGCACTAACTTGATGTATAGGCAGAGACATTGTCTCACACTTTATTTACTTAATCTTATACCATATTCCCCTAACTTACTAATCTGGTTTTTCATTGATGATCTGCAACCAATTTTTCCACATCATACAACCTAATTACTCAGTTTTTCGATCAACCTTCATTATCATACTGCGACTTTCCCTTTTGAATCCTCAAATCTTAAATCCAAAACCGAACTTTGTTAACATGCTTCTGAATGCACATATGAAACAAGCGAAAAAAATTAAGCATGATCGCGTATGCGTCACTGAAGTATTATCTAATCTTTGACCGTCGATTTCTGTTACTCATTAATCTCAGCTGAAAATGTATTATAAGTAAATTTTTAATGAAAAGTTTACAGGCAATGATAACCCGGTGGTCGCTGATCAAAATCCCGCCGCAGTCCAAATTTTCGTTTCACCTTCAATCATCACCCAGTACCGATAACTGAAAAGCCTACGTTTTTCTGTATGACTCATCCCAACAGTCAAGAACTTCATAAAAGTTTGCTTCGCTCCTTCCATCATAGCCATTCGAATTTGGTACAGACTAGCAATGTCTAACACATTTTAGACACTTAAGTCGAAGGTTTGTGGCACTGAACTAGTTCACATTTTCTAAGAGCTACCAGTCCCAACAAATGGCATTTCCCACAAGCCTGTGTATCGCTCTGTAGGTTCGAGTAGAAAGTCTTTGGTTACAACACGTTTGTTCTACTGTCTTCAATTCCGAACCACTAAAAACTGATTCACGTACTACCTGCTCAAGTTAATTAATTTTGCATGTGTTCCAAAGCTTGTTTAAAGATAGAGACGGGGTATACAGTCCTTCAGGTTTTGCATTAACGCTAGTCATAGTAAGGATGCGGACTTTGATATTAGTATTTTATTCAGGCAGATACAGCATGGTTGAGAATAAAACCCTTGGCAAGATCTTTTCAAAAACCACTTTGATTCACGTTTCTAGCTCTGATATCTGTTACGATGTTTTTCAAGCTACTGTTGAGTGAAAATTCAGTTTCCATAGCTTATTTATCATTTCCACTTTTAGAAATTGCGTGTACTGAGCACACTCAATGAAGTAACGCTTACGCTCAGTGAGTTGTCAGAGTCAGGTGTTGGTCGGGCTGTTCGTAAATTGAAAAATGAGCCTGGAGAACTCGGACAAACTGCGTGCACACTTATATCAAAATGGAAAAATTTACTCAGTGAGCACATAAAACAAGAATCCGTGAACCTCTGTATACCTGGAAATTCCAAGGCTACTGTTGTAAATGGTGAACCAAAAAGTTGTGGAAAAACTTGCAGTCCAAACAATTTGTTACCAACTATAAATGAGAAAAAGACTAAGGTAATTAGCAGTCCTCGAAATAGTTCTAAAGAAAGTGGGAAAAACGTTACACCTACAGCTGCACAGCTGGCCATCCATAGTTGTAATAATTCACCGCTTCACAACAGGAATTCAACTTCTCGTTGTATTCCTAATGGTTCCTCACCTCACGATTCATATACGCCTCCAAAAGTTCATCATGAATCTCCAAGTAGCAAATGTAAACTGGTATCAAACAAAAAAAGAAAGTCGGTGGAGGTTGTAGATTCGATTGATTCATCCAGTGGTATTTCGTTTATGGATTCATTAAATGTCGGTACAAGCATTCGATCTCACCGGAAGAAAAAATGTAGTCAGACCACTGCTTCTAACAGTGACACTCAATATGGTGGCAGTCAGAAACCTGAGATCAGTGCTCCAAAGGTGCCACTTCGACCTCTGAAGAGTTTTGTGCTGAAATCATCTCATCGCTTTTTGAACCAGTCAATCGCCCGGATGTTGTCCATCATCCACGTACCCCTCAGTTAGATGAAACAGGTGAGAAGGATGTCAACATATTTTCTACTGAGGTCTTCGTACAACCCATATATTTGCTTTTATTTGGCGGGATAACGTAGATTATCCTTATCGAATCTATTCGTGGTATGTAGAAATTTTTTTTAGTCAATATGTTAGTGCTGTTTATCAGTAGTAATAGGTTAACTGTAACAATCTAACTTACTGCAGCTGATATTAAGCAGCTAGTATTTCCGTTCAATATACTTCCTTTTTTTGTCAAGATTCGGAGCAAATATCGCTTACAACCTTTCGAGTGGAGACATTTATATAGATTTCAGCTCACTGTATCATAAAGTAGTAATTTAACTAAATATTTCAAAACTATTTAAATTTTTTGAGCTACACCTGTTCGTTTCTCTCCTGACGGTTAAGTCGTATGTTAGTGGTCTAGGCACTCGATAATCAGTCACAAGGTCTCTGACTCAAAATCACTACACCTATTTTCACATTAGACAACCTGTCATCATCATAGGCTTTCATTAACTGGATACGCCGTACAGTTAAGTTCACCATAGTGCATGTGTCTGGTGAGTCCGACTGTAATCATGTAAAGCAGCCCTCCATTGCCTTATTTCTTGAATCTAGTCAACGAGTACTGGTGTTCGTCATAAGTTGAGTACCAAACTATTATGACAGTCAGTAACACTTATCATGCGGTAGGTACTTTAATTGTATGTCTAACCTAATTCATAGTGTCAAATAGATCACATTCTATTGAACAGTAAGAAACTTTCGACTATTACGCACCGAGGTTGGCATCAGAAGATAAGAACTATCTTTCGTCTTTGTAATCTTGTGGAGCGTAAACCTTTCGAGCTTAGTTTAACTTCAGTTAACTCTACTGAAGCTATTAAGCCAACATTCGTTCTTAAATCTTCCTTTGAATTGAAAAGATTGTTGATATTCGGAAACGAGCGCCACCTGTGACAAGATATGTGTGAATGTTGTTCTATAACTGTTAGCATTGTTAAAGATGCACGGAACTCAGATATTCTAGCACTGTTTTACTTGATATACTGCTGACATGTAGGGGGAGTACATGGTAAGTAGTGTCAAAGTTTAAGGTCAGGATCTTAGATAAGGAAGAGGAAGCGTTTTACACGTCATTCGACCTCAGATAAGTTAAATGGTCAAATGAATGTTTAGCCATGCCCACCATCTATTTACTGTAGCTCTTACCACTCACTTTGGAGGTTTAGGAGAAATTGACTGATTACAAAAGAGTTTTCTCTACTAATGTAATAGCAGTCCATGACTTGTTAGTGTTTTTCTCCAGTTTCTAATGAGAAGCTGTGACCTGTGGGCTCATCTAAGTTGGGCATGAAGACATACTCACCGATGGCTTTGGATAGTGACCTCTCAATGTCATGAACCGACAGAAGTTGAATAAAATGAGCCTTAAAATTCCGATGCGGTGACTGAGTAGTAACATGCTTGCCCACAGATCTGACTGCCCAGGGTTCCATGCGATATAGAGTTATGGGGGTATTACTGATTGGTCCCAAACTAATACGAAACAATCGTCCAGGGTTCTCAGGTTTTCAATAATTCCTTAGTTACTATCAATCTGTAATGCGGACTCCTTTAAAATTATAATTATTGCTGTCGAAGAATTTCAAAGTATAAAAGATAATTGATGGACTATGGGTAACTACAATTTAGGTTGTCAGTTATCTTAAACACGTGGTGAACGAAAATGTCATGCAGTATTTGCTTGTGTCATGATGTTACTCGAATAGTCGGGATTGAGACAGATTTTAGCACAGGAGTGAAGTGATTAAAATAACCCAATCTTACAATGAATATAGGAGGAATGAACAACACCGGAAGATATAATCATATCACTACCAACAAGAAGAAGTTGGAAAGGGTAACAAAACGTCAGGAATGACGTCATTTATGATAGAGGTGAAGTTAATACTGATGAAGTCGCTTTTCCTGTCGATAAAACGTCGAAGAAGAAACCTCAAAGCACAGAGAGCACCAAGCAAATATCCTCACCCTAAGCTACAAATCTTCTCTACCATCTCACAGGTGAAATCATATCACTTATCGCTTTCAACTGTTTATTTCAAAACGAACAATAGTCTTCTGTGCTTAAGTCTGACACATTCTTTTCTCTTACTTATTCGGAGATGTGGTGAATTGGATACCTGTATACGTTTCAGATTCTGAATTGTAGTAGTTTGAATAGAATAGTCTCAACAAATGATTGTGTATGTAGATAACGCTTCAGCCTACTCATTTTTAATCAGTTATGTGTACTGGATGGGTTTTTTGTTGAGTTGGTAAAATATGAAAAGTGATAAATCGTCAACAGCATATTTTCATTGCTAAAGTTTTCTTTACTCGTTTATTCTCTCTTATTCTTATTTCTAGTTGATGAAGATGGTTTCGAAAGTGGTGATTTGAAATTTAAATCTAAGAAGGTACTCTGGGTACCAAAACCCAATCGTTCAGCGGCAGTTCTTCCCAGTTATTCAAATTTATCAAATGATTTCCCATGCTTTTTCGATCCTCCAAGCCTAATAGATCTTTGTGTCGATGTGTTGGCACGTAATATAAGTCGTCTTGACCATGTTGGTCAGGTTCCCTATGAATTGTTAGCAAAAGCTCTACGTGGTGCATCTGTGGAGGACTTAACTCGAATTGAACGTTACAATCCCGTAAGTGCCAGCATAATCTTCAGTTAACTATGTTGCTAAATTTGCTGTAGATATCTGATTGATTAATATGATTTGAATAATTTCAAGTCCTTGTGAAAAAGTTGAACAGCATAGCAAAAGATTTTACACGAGATGAAATTGCTGAATTCCTTTGTCATTCCACTATTTAAATACTAACTAGCAAACTATTGGTAAAAAAATTTAAAGTGTACAGTCGAAATACCATATACTTGATATATATGATTCGCTCTTTATAATTAATCCACATTACAGATTTTTATCTGACGATTAGGATAATAATTATTTTCTGTTCTCAATGAAGCTGTGGCGCTCACTGGTTTAGAGTGTTGATTTTTAATCAGTGGGTCGTGGGCTCGAGGCCCGCTCCACCTACTGAGGTTTAGGCAACCAGGTTGTATCATTAGCCTTTACACAATAGGTGTGACTCATTGCCTAATGCCCAAATGTGCACAAGGTTGCTGAAAGCATTTTAACGTCGATTTGGTGGTCGCTGAATTTTTAGGTTTATTCTTGGACATTGAGTCATCAGACTAGATGACTTCATCACCATTTACCTCTAAAAAAAGGTTCATAATTGAAGGGAAGATAACTGAATACAACAAATTTGCTGTATTGTACCAAATTTGTTGTTCTTGTTCTGGGTAAGTTAGTCAACAATTCCTAAAATATAATGATCCTCACATAGATTAGTATAATTCTCTTATTAGCTTATAGTTCGTACACATCCCGATTCAATAATATGGGAAGTATGACTTAGTCTTCATATTCAGAGGTCATTGTTCTTAATGAAGGTGAACAACGTAGGTCTCTACTAAGCTGAAACGACCTGCTGCACAAAAGAATAATAATTATCGGAACTATGGTTGAGGATCGTTGGCGGGTGTAGGTCGTCAGTTTTCATAGGTTCCAACTCCGCTTGACCACAAGGCTAGGTTAATCAGGTACCAGAATTAGTTTAGTAAATGTGGTTCACTGCACTGTTTTCATGATGTAAAATCATCGAAACTAACGAGTTCACATTAGTATTTACATTGTTGCAATCCAAGCAGTTCCCAGAAATGCAACAGAATAAACGAGAATGAAGTGTAGGAAATATAGTTCTTAATAATAGTTTGTTCATAAATGGTTGTTCTAGTATGCAATAAGATTGCTCACATCCATGTAGGAACCCCATATGTGAAGCCTTTCACAACCAATCATATTGCTTTGAAGTTTCGAGGAGAAGCACTTGGACTTATGTGTAAATGTGAGATTGGTTGATGGGGCGAACGTCAATAAGATATATCTTCCTAGAAAGGTTTAGAAATCTTCAAGGTCATTGAAAATATGTATGAACCGTAGCATTTTTTTTTACGTGTTTTGACGTCACATCACGCCTTTTCTGTTTACTAAAAAACTGAGCGACCACCAAGGGTGGAATCTGAATGTTATCATTCAAGTGTCTACACATACATATACAACCAAAGGTCTATCAATGACCAGTAGTTATTATGACGTATATCATATATACCTGAGTAATGGTGAGAATTTTAGTTAAGCTGTATATATGTTCGGTTTGAATCTACTGGGACGTCACCTCTATCTCTGGACGGGATCTTAACGACCATCCGAATCAGGAATTTAGGACGATATCGGAAGTGGCTCAAAACTGGAATCATGCTGCAGCTTCTTTATTTCTTCGGTTATCAAAAAGCAAGACGAAACTGGTGAATACTTTGAATGTATCTTTGAGACTACTTTTTTAATAACCCATTTCTAATTTCACTTCTACACTTATCGTTTCATTACCTATGCATCACTTTTACGTCTTCCTTATTTTTTCGCAACACTATATTGTATGCCTCGACGTTTATTGTCCATACCAATTGTGTTTCAAATAAATAAGTCAGTAGCCACTACGGCCTTTATTAGGATCAAATACTGGGCGTCTGAACTCATTTTTCTCTCACTTGAATACTGTGTTGTCTTATATTTACTATTGCTAATCTCATTCCTAGCCATTGATCCTTTGTGACTGTAGGTTAATATTTTGTACAGCTACTGTGCTCATGAGAAATATTGTCTGATAAGTAATTAAGTTTGGTTACTTTACATAGATTGCGGGTTTTCTATTGGTCGGAGTTGAAAATCACTGTCCTAACGAGATGTTACCTAAAAATTGGAGTGCTTAGAAATTATCACGTTTTTCATACAGTGAAGAGCAGATGAAATTTCATTCAGTGATATATATACATTTATAGGTGTTTGGCAGTTGTTGCATATTTTCTACTCGTGTTTTAACGTTACTATTTAATACTATCTATATTGTCATCCTGAGTGTGGCATCAGGCATCTGGTCACTTTCCTGCTAATAAATTTTCAGTACGGAGGCTTAACCAACAATATACCAGGGGTTATGGGGTTATTTGCACTTGATGTTTCCTTTTAACAACAATATTAATATATTTACTTTATGCCAAACCATAGTTTTATTTATAGTAAAGAATTTGCAGCATGCAATGCTGCATTAAATTACTTGCTGTACATCTTTCAAATATATATATATATATATATATATATATATATATATATATATATATGCAGTAATACCGGTTTACAATGTATTATAAAGAATAACAAGATTGTTAAAATGCCTAATAACTTCAGGGTCATGGTAACTGTTCTCTGTTACAAAGCTGATTGATAAGATTATTTCTTACATGATTTTCTCCACACAATATGCAAGGTTAATAAGGTATAATTAAATTTTTGCATGTAGTTGGGAGTGCATACAGTACATATTTGCTTCTTGTCCTCCCTGAGGACAACAGACATGGAGAGGGATGTGGATTCAGAGAATACTTGTCATCAGATAAAATATTTGTAGCCAGAGTTTAGATGCCTATATCCACAGCCTCGTTTACCAGTACGATTAGTGGTGTATCACTCGCTCTACTAAAACTCTTCAAAATCCTTCACAACACAATATATTCCTTTTTTGGAGTCCAGGAAAGAATAAGGGGAAATAATAAGTAATTATAAGCCAAACAGGAATTAATAATACATAAGAGTAGACGTTGAATCATATTAGATAGTCTGAGTTATGTAAGACGTCAAGTGAAAGATTTTACTGGAGATCAGAGAAATATACGGGGACCAAGAAAGATAAGAAAAATAACGTAATCCAAAGTGGATCACGCTTCATAATTGCTGTACATTAGAGCCATTAATGAGACAAGAGCCATAGGAATGTAGCAGTTCACATGCTTCGGTTACATGACTCTTGTAGTGATCAATAAAAGGTTTTAGTTACGCTCATATTCTATCGCAGAGCTGTGCTATGAAATTCTCATATCTCCTATAGTACCATTTTTAGAGACATCGAAGTTTGTGATGTATTTACCATTTTATCTCGTCTTCAGCTGGATTGGTCTAAATTGATAATATTCTTATGCTGTTCAATGTTATACATGCTATCCTGTTGATCACTGGTACTTAATACGAAAAATTATCCCCTTTTAAATTTTCATAATTTATTAGCAATTCGTTGGTCTCAGTGATGATCTTTGGCAAAAATACGTAAATAGAGATTTCCAGCATTTGTCAAGTGTTCGTCGTCGACCAGATGAAACATGGTGTGAATTTTACAATCGTTTATCTAAAGAAGAAGCGAAACGCTTAGATCGTATTATCTCACAATCCGCACGTAAAGTGAAAGAAGAACAGGAAAGTAAGTCAGTCACTATGAAATTTATTGACGATCTTTTGGATTATATATATATATATATATATATATATATATATATATATATATATATATATATATATATATATATGGTGTTGCGTTTTGTCAGTTATGTTCAGTTACAATCCTTATATCTGTAAAACTCTTCTTAATTCGTTGGGTAGAACACTTTGAGGCTCAATTTAACTGGCCCACAGCAACGCTTCAGTTGCCCAACATCCTATTTGTACTTGAATAGTACATAGATGTCGGTCCTCCAGCTATCATCGAGCAAGTATGTGAAAGGAAATCAAAGCCCTGCACTCAAATTCATGCAGTCGTTTTGGAGTTTTCATCCTAATTGACAGTAACTAATGGTGTCTACCAGGGATGCCCACTGTCACCGTTTAGTTTCTTCGTAGACGTACTAATGGATATAACCGTAGGTACTTCTGACTTCACAGGCCTTGACTCACCCCCCCCCCCCACCCCTTCAAGGACGTGTGGTGGAGTTTGAGTACACAGATATTGTGTTAGATGATGACAGTGTTACATTAAGGCTGTGCTCGTTTTTCTCAACGACTTCGCTAGTGACAGTTGAACTAAGTGGACATATATCCGTCATGATATTCTCAGTACTTCAAGATTTTCACCTAATGTATTTAGAAAAGTAAATTGTAGCACATTTTCGTGTAGCGGAATCTATGATCCATATATGTGAGTCAGATATCAGTCTGTGCCAGACCAAAGGCCGATATCTATGTCTACAGCAAGGATTTTAAGAGTGCATATTGCCTACGTAGACTGTTCATTTTAATTAGGTGATTGTATGCTATACCGTTTATTTTTTACGTAACTAGAAATTTCCCCATTATTTATTTATGCATGCTATAATAGACTTTCTTCTTTTAGTGCGACGTACAACCTTGACTACAGAAGTTATTACCCCACGCCAGATGCAGCGACGTGGATCTCGTCAAACTAATAACGGACCCAATAATAAAGCATTACCTTACTTTAAACCCCGTAACATGAGTCATCCATCTCCGAATGCTACAGATAAACGCAACAAAGTGAATCATCCAATTGCTTCGACATCAAGCACAACTACTGCAGGTTCTAGTGGCGTTTATGGTGGTGGTAGTGGTGGTCTTCTAAGCAAACTGCGTAAACAATTCCACTCTGGTCACCTTAGATAGCTGTAATAACAATAATAATATTAATGCTTTGTAGCTCTATAGTTTAATAATGTGTAAATTTTCTTCTGACATTCAAGTGAACTTGTTTCTACATTATTTATGCTGTGATCTAACTTTTCAAAACTGCTTTTAATAACAGCTCTATAGGTTATTATTTTCCCTTTTATCTGGTCCCCTTCTGCCATGCTTGGATGGATAAATTATGAAATAACTCATGAAAGACTTGTTATTGTAGTGGGTTATATGATGTACGTCTCAGGTACTAGATCTTGTTTATTTTTGTTGAGACATTTGAAATGCCTCAACCTAAAATATTTTACCATTAACATACCTTGCTAATGTGAAGTGCTTCTTTTGCTCTACTATGATGTCTCTCTGTTTTTTTCTTTTTGTTGTGCACACTTCGTGCTTGCTTGTCTTTCTCTTTCACATCCATTGTTTTACTGTGTGGGATACATCCTTTGTTCTCTAGTTCTAGTTTAATAGTCTTATGTCTATTATCAATTATTCTAGTCTCCTAGACCTCCCCTGTGGTTATAAGCTACTTAAATCTGATAAATTTGTATGTATTTCCGATTTTTTTTTCCTTCGGTTTTACTCCTGCATCACGTTCCTTTCCGCGTGTACATATAAACTTTGAGATCTCCCATAATAGTAATTACTACTGATCATAATAGTGATCTTCGGTAACATGTAACTTCATTATTTATTAAGAGAAGCTCTCAGTTGACTTTTCTGTTCTTGTTTTTCCCCCCTATCTTCTTTTGTTTTTGTTTATGACGATGACTTGTTTCATATTTTCTTACTCCCTGCTCTAAATGTCCCCTTTTTATCGCACCCTGTTATTTAGTACTTTTTTTTCCTTTTGATCAATTAATCCATTTTTTCCTACTCTTTGTATGATATTTTATCGAAAATTCGTTGCACTAGTGATAATAATCGTAATAATGGTCAATAACTTGCCAACTTTTATAAGTTTTCTGTAGTCAGAGCAGGGATAACGTTTATGCTTGCAAACTGCGTTTAATTGGTGTATGGAAGACGATGAGGTTAGTTCTCACTATAGGGATTGTGTGGAATACATCAAATTATTGTCATGAACACGTCGATCGTTAATCGGGTATGACAACTAAACTGACAATCGATTTTATATGGGGCTTCTGCTTGCAAGTTAATACAAGAAACTGTAGGTGTTTTAAAGTAGTTCTTTATTGTTAGTGTGATAAACGTTCTTATGCATTCACAATTATTCCGTATAGTTTACTGTTTGCCTATTAAGTATCGAAATCGACCATTATTTTCTAAGTTGAGGAAGACTGATTCAATCAGAGAAAATGCATGATTGGTCGTTCTGCTCATATAGCTCTAGTCAATAAGCAACGAAGTAACATTAGAACACCGTTTTCTGTCAAACTGATATGTGAATTTGTCATCCAAATCATGTGAATAAATTGTCTTTTACCTTTCTATTTTCCTACCATCTACTTGAAAAGACATCGTACGCCACATGATTTTTAATTTTGTGGGCCACGACCACAAAACAGATGACGAGGATTCATCTGCTAATATTTTTCCCGTCTCCAAAGCTGTTATGATCTGAAAACATGTTGGTGGGTAATTTCAGTGCCATTTATGTACGCCATGTGGTTTCTCATTGCAGCCACCCTATAGGTGATATTAGGAAAAGAAGACAGGTATCAAAAAAAATTTACTAACCCAACCCGCGTTATAAAAGTAAAACTTCACTATACGCAGCGTCTATAAACCTCAGTATGAAGTTACTAATCATTTTGACCATCTGAGATGGCCGAGGTTTGGCAGACTAGTATTGATACTGGGTGATGATTGAAGTTGAAAGGAAAATTTGGACCACGGGTGGATTCGAACCAGCTACCACTGGGTTTCTGACCCAGTGCTCTACGACTCCTGACCGGATTTTCATTTAAGTTCGATCGCCAAGGGTTTGGTCGACTACCATGTGAATTTGTGACGCGTTATAACTGTTTGTTCGTACTCATATTGGCTGCCCAATCCAGATTTCTCATCCCATTCCAAAACTAACTGAATTAGAAAGATGAATCATATTGATTATCATTTTGACTATCTGGGATACCCGTGGTTCGGCAGACTAGAATTGATACTGGGGGATGATAATCAATATGATGCTCCCCCTCTCAAAATTAGTTAGATTTGGATTGATATGAGAAGTCCTGACTGAACAGCCAGTGTGAATAAGATCAAACGGTAGTAACGTGTCACGAATACACATGGTAGTCAAATAAAATTAATTGTTTGTAATTCTTGCAAACAAAGGATGAACTTTTTATTGGAATCATTGAAGCTACTCAGTGGTCTACAACACTGAATTTCGTTTTAGTTACTACCTGTCCACCTTAAACTTTGATAAACTGTTAACCAACTTCTGTCAACCACGAAATTGACAAATTGGATTTCTCTGTTTTGCAATAAAACTATCTTTCCAACCGGAATAAAAAAAACCTAATTCGTTTTTCAATAGTTGATAGGATGGCCTTTAAATTCCTGTCGAAAAGGATGACTTTTCCTGCATATCAAATGGCAATCATGTAGATAAACCATTTCCATCTACGCTAAGATGTAACCTCCTTTACCTCATGTTTTTTAATTCAGAATGTAAAGTGTGATTGAAATTATTGCTTTATTTGCAGAACAAATATTCATATATCAAGATTTTTTTATACATATTGATTTGTACCATTGTGTTATTGATTGCTAAAGCAATCGACAAAAGGTTTATTTGAGTTTCGTCGTATGATTATGATTTGAAGGACACATTTTTTTAATTTCATGTTTATATTTTTGTTCATATTTAAATAAATTTCGACTGTTTCGATCAGTTGAGAGTGAACAATAATTGCTAATTTACCGGGTTAATAGACTAATACTTCAATGAGAAAGTTCTTGCGAAAATACTACTTTGGTGATGAAAGAATCCTATTCTGGTTCATCTAAAAGTAAATTGCTGATACTTTTTTCTAAATCATATACTGTTAAGGGTATTTAGAGACACAAGGCTTAAGGTTTTTGTTTGTTCTTAGCCAAACTAGACTTCTTGATTGATCTGAACTTTGAATACGTCTATCGACAGATCTCGTACCAAATTTTGAAATACACTTCAGGAAGCTACCATCATATATATGGGTGCTGCTAGTCAACTGATGAATAACTGCCTGTTTACATGTCATTTGAGATTCTCCCTCCTCTTAAGTATGCCATCTGAAGGCCTACGAGATGCAGAAACGTTAGAATGCGTTCAGAATTTTGTAAGACAAGGATCATATCCTTATTCTGCTTTTGCTAATCCAAATCATAGTGTCACGTTTCTGAGACCCTGAAAACGGATCTAAACATCTCAGCTTCCTCTTACTCTCCCAGTTTTCTCTATTAGCTGAATCTTTCAGCGTTCACTGCTGATGAGTTTGGCTCCAAGCGAGTGAAATGGCTGTCCGTTGTTTAGATCACACTTCTGTGGTTAACTAAATTTGCAGATCAGCTTGTGTGGTTTCTTGTTACTCAGGCTATTCAGTAGGATGTTTATTTGACAATATTATCATTAGATTGACTGGTAAATTGATTCACACCAGTGATTGTTCTAGGATATTATGTCATTAGAAATGTTTTCTTCTGATGAATAAACCGATCATCTTAGTTGTATTGTGTTCTCTGAGCTGAGTTGTTTAGTCGTGGAGCTTTCATCATCTTTCTAGACGACATCTTTGGCACTAACTTCATCTTATAGTGTAGCAAAGTGACATTTCAGGAAAATGGCACTGAATCCTACTACAACCTAAATAAAATAACCCTGAATAGTATTGTGTATTGCATTTTATTTGGTATTATAGCTTTAGTTTCACAGCTGAAAGTAAGTGATGCAGTAAGTTTCACGATGATTGGAAGAAAGTCTGCTGCTCACGAGCGTGATTAGGGTAGTCTCTTATTCTTCCAGCCTAACGGCAAAGTTACTGACAGCTAGGGATCTATTCACAAGGAACTAGTGAGTGCTAAAACTGTGTTCACAAATAGCCTTATGATTTATTTTGATGACGTCCTATGTAAGTTTAAGATACTATTCATTATAGGCCAATATTAGGTGGACAGCCATCGGGAACATAAGAGTCCTAGGCAGCTATGTGTGACTCTGCACAACGCCGCCAGGGACCGAGCCAATGAATGTCAGGTTTCCCACCAAGCATGCTACTATTTAGCCACTGAGAAGTATATGGTTGAATGCTTACAGTCATTGAGCTATCTCTATCCGAATAGGCATTTCTATTGCCTTCTGCAAATATCTGATTTCCAACATTTAAGTAAAATCGGAAATAGATTAGGCAAAGAGATTTGATCATCAGAACTTCCATTTGGTATTCAGATCTTCTAGATAAGAGTAACTGGTAATCCTGTTTTTTTGATTCACTGCGGGTTACTTACTCCAGTGACTGATCACTTCGAAAGGTATGAAACATTTTATATACAGTGTTTGTTGGTTAAATGCAATCGACAGGAAGCCCTGAACTCAGGTTTCTTGCCTATTTACACTTGTCAGTTAGGCGTATCTGCAACCTCAAGGGAACTGATGTCCTTTGTGAGACTAGAACCCACGTCACCCAGTGTTATAGTTTGTTGCGTTATCACCGAGCTATTCAGTCCATGGCTTACCTCCTGTAGGACTGGACTACAAACACTGAATGATTACTGGAGAACAACCAGTCTCATGTTGTCTAGTCCTGAGGGCTGATCGAATTCTATCAATTATTGGTTACTGTAAACCAATCAACTTCCATCAAACTACATCACGATGGTAGGCCTCCTGGATTGGTGACCACATTGCAAAATGATCGATAGAATTTGGTCAGCACTCAGGACTAGACTATATGAGATTAGTTGCTCTCCAATGATCGATCAATGTATATCTAGTGTTCCTCCATCGACAGATATTAAAAAGTGAGATGTACGCTTGTGTATCGTTATTGGGCGTGGGGAAATAATGTTACTTAATCGCTCAAATCATGCAGTGTTCTCTACCATGCCATGCTGACGAAAATTGTCTCTTAGTGAAGAAAAAACAGTTTTCGATCTTGAAGTGATCAAATTTGTACCAGACAAAAATATAATACAGATAATCAAGCGAAAATTTCAGATTTTCCGAACTTTGTATTGTAGACGGTGACTAGTATAGCGTTTAGGCATCTGCTATCAGTGACTTCAACTCATAGTGAATTTCCGACTCAATACCACTCAAATACAGTTCCAAGCCGCCCTCCGATAACCTCTTAAGTGTTCCTAATGCGAAAATACTGAACTGAGCTCAGCTGTTGAAGGAAAAAAACTATTACTGCGGGTATGTTGATGACAAATTTGTCCTTCCTAATGAATATGAACCATGCAACTAATCTTTTCGAGGTTAACCTCAAAGTTAAATTTACGATGAATTATACACATAAAAATAAGTGTAATGTTTTGGCCCGCTTTTTGAGAAAACTATCTATGAAATAGGCTTATGGACTAGATAATGCTCTAACTACAATTTGCTAGTTATAAGCATGTACTAGTCACACTATTGTACAATAGAGCTAGGAACTTATTATCTGTGAAAAATTTAGAGTTGAGTAAGAGTTAAGCGGAGGATGGTGAAGCAGAAGATAAACCAGTGCAAGGATGCTCAACGACAAGAGGAACTGAGCACAATGTATAAAACACTGGACAAAGAAGTGAAGAAGAGTGCACGCAAAGACAAAAGACACTTCTACGAAACACTGGCAAGTGAAGCAGAACAGGCTGCAGGTAAGAGAGACCTGACGACATTGTATCAAATAACCAGGTTGCTATCAGGGAAGAGACCAACACAGATGAAACCAATAAAAGATGAAGAAGGAAATTTAATTACAAAAGAAGAGAAACAGAGGAAACGATGGGCCGACCACTTCAAGAAGCTCTTGAATCGACCACCACCTGCACTTCGTCCAGAAATACCACCTGCAGCCGCTGAATTACAAGTGAACATAAATCCCCAACGAAAATGGAAGTCCTGAACGCCATAAAGCTACTGAAATGCGGGAAAGCAGCAGGACTAGATGGAATACCGCCAGAAGCACTGAGAACAGGTGCAGAGACAACAGCGGACATGCTCACACCACTATTGCAGAAGGT